GAGTTTCTTTGTGATTTCCATGGGGAGGGAACAAGAGCACATTGGCAATGAATGGACTGCAACTCCAGGGATGGAATCACAGGTGACCAGTTGTTCATGAGTCACACGATGCAGGGGCAGTGATGTAGGACATCTTAGTTTCTAAATGAACAACATTCCAATAAAAAGAATCATCAGAAGGTTTTCACAACAGCCCTGACCTTTTTTTTTTGTGTGTGAGCCTTATAGCTGTCGGGTATTTTAATATCTGTAACACGTCAAAAAGCAAAATGCAATATCCAGGTAACAGAACTTAAGGAAGGCTGGGACCAGCTCCTGAACACTTTGTCCTTCCTCCTCTGCCTCAGCACTGAAGGACTGCCACTGTGCAGAGGAGGCGTGGACTGAAGGCTGGTTCACAAGGCTCCATACTGCCTTGTGAACCAGCACGGTATATTAACCCCTGGAACTTGGTGATGAGGTCTCTGGTCATGACTGGGCTGTCAATGAGCAGAGGAAGGCAGGAGAAGGGATGCTTTCTGTTTTTACCTTCAGGTTTTGTCTCACCTTCTCCTGTCTCCCTTTACCGACTTCACCCGAGCCCCCCCTCCTGGGGAGGACCTCCCTAGGTCGACTTTGATAAAGTGGGAGCAGGACGACAAGCATGGGGACGGCGAGGGTGTGTGTGTGGAACGGAGCAGGAGAAATAAGACGTGGGGCGAAAACTCTGATGAGCTGTTTTAACCAGCTGCACTGCAGTAGTGGACGGAGTGATTACCCTGTGGCCTCTGGGATGACATGACATGTCAGACATCCTAGCTTTGAAAAACTGATTTCAGGGAGGGGGGTGGGAGTGGGTCGTCCCTCCAGTGAAAACTTGTAGACCGGGGGCTGGAGGTCTCCCTTGAAAAATCACAGCTATGTAATTAAATAATTCACTGATAGATGCTATAATATATGCAATGCACTAGAAAGCCTATAATTATAATTATAAATCCTATAATCCTAGTCCAGTTGAATAATCTCACTTTCTTTGCAAACTTTCTTCGTACAGAGATGCGGCTTGTTTAGCAGATTTGAGCAGATTCTCAGATGACTCAAGGTCATATTATATAATAATTTGCTGATGATTTTTCGGACCGGGGGTGTCGCCACCAGAATATTTTGGGAGTGGTGGTGGTGGTGGTGGGGTGATTTCTGGGAGATTATGGATCACTTGAGGGAGACGCCGATTTCTGGAAAATTCGCAGGACCACCGGTGAGACTTGGGCAACATGAAATGTGCTAGTGTAAGAACAAATGTTCCAACTACAGCAATCAGTAATAAACCGTGTCAGCATCTTGTCCC